TAAGCAATGGGGTGGTGGTCAGGGGAATTGAAATTTTGTATAATGTTTGTTGAAAGTCATAGCTAATTGATTCCAAGCTTTCAGTACTGGGACAAGCTATAGTTATAAATAAATAAAAGATTCAGAAGCCACCTCCAGCTTACTTTTTCAATTAGAGACTTACAGAATTGTTCAGACATACACAATTGAAAAGCCCAACACAACTACTTTTATATATACAAAAGACATGAGCTGTTCTGTTACTGGAGGTAGGTGGTAGGGCTATTCACATCCTTTGTCTTAGTTATTAGTAATATTCATCTATGTATTTTGATCATTACTGCTTTTTATAACCTTGTCTTCAAAATGGTGCCTATATGACTAGGCAGTAAGTTTCCATATGGCTGCTAACACAGAAATGAGAAAGATAAAACAAATTAACTACCATTTCTATTTTGTAAGAATCTTTTATATGTGCTAAGTTAGAATGCCACATTTACATTAAATGTTTTGTAATATAAAACAACAATGAATAAAAGTCTTACATTATTTTATTCAGACACTAGGACTTCCTTTTTAATTATGACACAAGCTCTAGGGAAGCCCACTGTAGAAATGAACAAATTATCCAAGCTATATGAGCAGTTGTAATGTTCCCCACAGTGGTAGATGTATTTTCTCTCACAAGTGTATGTGAGCAATCCAAAGAAGATACTGAAATATTGATTAAATGCTTTCTTTAACTCCACTCCCCCCTGGAAGGGCATAAAGGAGGTCATCTTTACGAAAAGAACAAACTGCATTCAGAATTCACATGGCCATCTGTCTCTGTTTTGTATGTTATGCACATAAAACTCTTGTATTCTCTTTGTTGTTGTTAACCACCGTCAAATCGATCCTGACTCATGGCAACCCTGTGGATGAGACATCTCCAATACTCCCTATCTTCCACTGTTCTACTTAGGTCCTGTAAATTCATGTCCATGAGCTCCTTAATACAGTCTATCCATCTAGCATGCAGTCTTTCTCTCTTTCTACATCCCTCCACCTTTCCTAGTATTATTGTCTTTTCCAGTGAGTCATTCCTTCTCATGATGTGACCAAAATATGACAACCTTAACTTTATCATCTTAGAGGGGATGCAGACAAGCAGCCCTGGGGCGCCCTGGGAAATGGAAGATTGAGGCTGAGGCTGCCAGACACGTCAGCCCCGATCCTCCCCTTTGCCGCCTCAGAAAGGAGTGGCAAAATGCCACTGCTTTCAGAGGCGGCAAATAGGCCGCCCTAAAAGCTGGCGCGTGGCTCTTCAGTGCTTCCAGAGCAGTGTGTCCAAACGCTGTGCCCGAAAGACGTCATGACACCACGCACTGTGCATAATGGCACATGGTGTCAGGACATCTTTGGGAAGGGGTTGAACCAGCTGGCGTGCAGCTGCC